AAGTGCCCAAGTTTCTGTCGTATCGTTTGGTAGCAGTAAGTCATAAGCTACGATGCTTCGACCACGCACTGCGAATGGCTCTGTCATTCCTACCCACGGTACACGACAGCTAACTATCAACCTGAGTATCAGACGACAGTATCTATGGACGTTCATCCCTTCTGATGTTCCCATAGCCATACTCGGTATCGATCCATTACAGCACTATGAATTGCTATTCGATTCACGTAGGCTGCGTTAATCGATACTTCGTCGAATATCAAATCCATGGTTCTTAACACGCATACAGATATGTACCGAATCATTAATATGTATATTTTTTGCATTACTATTTATTTCATGTTATATTCGATAAATTCCCCAAAGTAACGAAACCGAGGAGATTTAACTGGTGATTATTTATGTGGTAAGCCACATCGTCACCTGCAAACCCCCAGTCACGGCAAAACCTCGCCGACTGGCACTGGACAACTTAGTTTTCGCTAAGCGTGAGTTTGACAGTTTACTTGCTATATGTATTACTTCGTCTTTCTCACAGTCCTTAAGCCTCCTCTCCACTCGGTTGGCAGAAAGATGGCATTTGTTGGAGACGACATGGCGATTACGGAGCAGCAACGGCAGAATCCAATGTTCCGCCTTCGAACTCATATACGGCACGACATTGCATCTGCCTGGGGAATTTCTTCACACCACGGAGCAGCGATTTTATGTATATCAGATTACGTCCAGCGACTATCTGCGCAGATGAGAATACTGCCTCCGGTGTGAACTCGAGTATAACATCGACAGGTCGCTCTCCCTCGAGAGTTATTTACCTGTCCGCAAGTTCTTTTACTAGTAGATTCGGTACTCAACAACCTTACGAAGGATCTTTTCACGTGATCTATCGTCACGAAATGACCTTCAAGGTTGATGGACACAGTCAGCATTGATCGTCTCATACCAGCGCACGTCAATGACAGTGCCCTACCTGGTAAATCGAGATTTAATGCTGGACTCGTCCAACTCACGCTAGCGAAATCAGAAACCTCATTCTCACGTCCCAGTCAGCAGCACGCGCCATCTGCACTATCTACGGATGAGACTCCGGTCTCACGTCCAGATCAGCAGACCACGCCGCACTTGAATGCGGATGAGAATGCAGGCTCACAAGGTACGCACGAGGCTACTGTCTCGCGTTCCGGTCGCCGCGTACGCCTACCTGTACGCTTTCTCGAATAACTACCAATCAACCACGGGTTCGGCATAGGATTTTACACTCGTACTACATGCATGCTACACTTTTCTCCCTTTTCTTCTTTTTTATCCCGAGCCTATACCTTCGACCATTGCCCTGTTGGTACCGTCGACTTCAGTCAACCTTGGCGAAAGCTGGCCTGATCACCCACGCTCTTGTCAATGCACTCAGTCGATTTTCTGGTGACGAATATATCTGGTATACGAATGGTTTCGAAATGGTCGTTTCTGGCTCCGCTCAATCTGGTTCCGTCCTACGTCTGCAGCTTTATCTGGTCCGAACGCCTACGAAAGCTATCTTCAGACTCTGGATACGAGCCACGCTGGTGTGGCATGCCAACCCGATAGACAAACTTGGCACATCAACTCGAGCAGCAAACCTGGCACGTTACTACTGGTACAGTTCAACGTAGAAGACTATCGGTGACAACTCGAGCTTCATTGGTCGCTTCCTGTTCGTCAACCCTTCCGCGCTAAAACCAAATGTTGGCCGACCAGCCCCCCGTCAAGCGTAGCCGCTATGTATCGAAAGTGTAAACCCTTTCTAGGCGGGGGCTGCTGTAGTGGAACGCTTCTACGAAGAAAATGCGATTTTTGAAATGTAAACATTATTGTACTCGCTTTGTTTAACTTAACCAAAAACACTTCTACTACTTCTTGCGCGCAACGTTTCTCTTCGCGTTGCCGCCATGTTTCTCCATTTGCTGCTCCCTTTGTCATGCCAACGTTCTCCTTTAATAAACCACTGAACTATGGATTTATTTTGTTCTCGTTTTCATCACGCAACCGTATGGAACATTTAGTAGTGGGCATAGTCAAGCTGGTTTCCGGACTCGCTCACTAAACTAGCAAGTATTCTTATTTCATCTAGTCACCTCCGTTTTTGCCCTTTCCATAAAAGATTTGGGGTAACGCTGGGGACCTGAACGTAATCGGTTTGTAGCCGCGTTCATATTCTTTCAACTTGAATATCTACTTTAGACAGTCCATTTTTTCTCGAAGAGAATAACATTTTCGTGAGTCTATTATAAATTATCCCCATTTTTGTTATTGTTTATCTACTGATATCCGTCAATTTATATAATATCAGCAACAACGTTTAAAAATGATGGACAATCGTAAAAATCTCAATAATATAACAGACTCCGAGGTTCATGTTACAACTTTTCAACCTGATTCCTATATCCCCCACCATCTCGCGTACCTCCAGTCTCTGGCAGAACCTGCAACAGCAAACTCCGATGTATTCAGAGAACTGTGGCTAGAAGCACTACCAGTGCATCTACAGACCACCTTTACTTCGCCGGTCGATAACAGATTTCTTTCTATGGTTGCCATCATAGCAGACAAAATTGTCTCAGTTACTAGCGTTGGGGCAACTATTTAGTTGCTTCAACGTCAAATCCAACCATGAACCTTGACGCTAGTCATAGTCCAGCTCAAAGTTATGTGGGTTGCTGTATTCCCAGCTGTGTGATATTCCGAGAGCGTACCGATGTCCCAGAACCCCACGTCCGTCTGTCACAATTGCAGTCACGTCGAGCTGTAGCTCCGGCCCGCCCTAAGCGAGCACCTGCCAAGCCACCTCGAAACGCAGTTGCGAAACCAATCGCCGGTCTTCGCCGGTCTCACTACGCCCTGGAGCCCTTTGCTGATCAGTCACACGGACGAAATCGCCATGTTTCGAAAGTGTTCATCCTTTCTAGCGGGGGGTTGCCGTAGTGATTTCGCTTTTACGTAGAAAACCTAATTGATTAAATAGCAACATTCATTATTATAACCAGTCGTACCAGTGAACGTTTCATCGAACATTTTGTTTATTCGTAATTTCGCAACGTCCTTACCTTCTTCGAAGCCGCCATCCTGCTTTTGCTACTTTGTACCTTCGTCCAATTCTCTGACACGTTTTATTCTTATTTCAACGCCATGAAATCGCCAGTAAATACACTTATTTAATCTGGTCTCCCCAGTTTTCATCTTTCCGAGGTAACGCTTGGGACCTGAGCATAATTGGCTTATAGACGTGTTCATAACCTTTCGACTCTAACATCTACAAATGTATCGGAGATAAAGTCTTCTTGATTTACCCAAATGTCAATCCCTGATTAAGTGACTGGATGTTTTCAGTTTTCATAATATCTAGGTGAAAGTGATCAGGAAAAGGGATGAAACGAATAATCAGGGACACAGTCATAAAATTAACTTTAAAGAGAACGTATTCACAAAGACGGAACTGCACAATTAATATACGACTTTCTAGAAAGATCTATTTGCTATTCTCGATAGAGGCAAATAGTCACCCAACGTCATGATATTTTATCTTTGTGAATGTTCTTCTTGGATATTTATAGTGTCTCTACAAATTCTTCTAGAAACTTCGGCAAGCACTGTCTCATTCACCAACATTACAGTGACTCAAAAGTAAATGTAGAACAAACCAGAGTTGGAACTCCATTTTTCCTAAGAACCTATGAAACACTAGAAAATTTCGTAATAAAAATAATTAGCTGGAATCAATGAAACTGTAAGCATCTAACACGGATGCTGACTTATCTGGTTCTCTAGATCCTAGTGGTGGGAAAATGCTTAAAATGGAGAGTTGTATAAATCGTTGAGACTGAAACTGACCTCTTTTGTTTTTTCTGGATATACCCAAGCTGAGAATGCTTGATAAATGATATGGTTTCAAAAATATGATAGATAATCATCGGATACTCCGTGTTTCGCATCCTTCGTAATAACTAGTCAGCTAACATCATATAAGTTTCAGTGTATCCCTTGTTACTTCGAGGTCATAATCCTCGACCTCTTTTTGATTACGTTAAGGATTTCAGGAGACGAATTCCAACGAAAGGAGCAATATCGAGCCCTGAATATCCGTATCATATTTACCTCATTTACGATTTAAGTTACAAACAGTTTGAATAATCATATCCTGTAACTCTACTTCAAGAAAAGAATCGTTCGCGTGCTCTAATACAGTGATCGAACTTCCAACATTTCGCAACTAACGCTAACAAAAATTACTCATTACTAGCATTTAAGCTCAATTTGACTAGCTTACGTTCTAGTGGGATTATTGATAACTTATTTCGGTAACAGTAGGCGAGAATAACTCATCAATTATCAATTCAAGGTAACGAAAACACTTTGAAGCGAACGTGGAAAGAAACCATTAAGTCAGTCCATTGAGTAAAAACTTTATTCAAAGGCACTATGGGCATGCAAATATCCGTCGATGTTACTTCTTGGGTACATAACTGATAAGAGCCCGAGAACAGAGATAAACAAGGCATTTAAATGAAGTCAGATGTAGAGAAAAAGGTAGACGTTCAACATAACTGTTGAATATGAACAAGACAAATTTGGTATGTCACTTTTCCATTCCAAACCCAATAAGTTAGGTTAAGATATACCCAACTAAACAATATTCCGTCCACTTAAAACATCATAAATACCCTTGATTATTTTCTGGAAAACTAAGCTAGGCATAAACCGAATGCTGTAATCTGTTCAAAACATTCGAACAGTATAGCTTAGTGGCGCTAGTTGCAATCTAAGCATTTTTCGGATCCCTTGGTGCAAAAATACAATGGCCCAAATTAACATAACTATATTTCTTTCATCTATTTAGGAGTGTTCTTCAAACCAGTGCCACCATATTGATAATATAAAAAAGGCTTGTTGGGTTAAAGATTCTCTTTTTCCACTCTTTACAATTTAGAACCTTCCAAGAGTATTTCGTGTAGGTCACTCGTTGCGCGAAATTTAAGCATGCGCTACATCAGCGCTACTTCTGAACTTAGTTAGATCAGGCTCATATTACATCAAGGATACAGGTAAACTATTTTAACTGTGTATTATAGCAAGAAGATATAAGTATAAACTTAGATAATCCTAATTTGTAAGATTCAGTGGCTTATTTCTATAAGAAAGCAATGATATTTGACGAAATTCAGTCAAGAAGCGGCTAGTGTTTATGGTAAACTTTAAAGCTTATTGTTTAAATAAAGATGAAATGTACCAGACTGATGTATGTTGGCGCATCACAATTCCTTGTACAGAACTTTTTATGTTATGTGGATGTGGTTTATAATTAAGATCCGAAGAAGTTACTGTGATCTTGACAGAGTTTTTAACGAAATTCGCCTAAAATAAACTCAGCGTAGCGGTAGAGAATCAGTACATCCCTGAACTTTGCATGCTTCCATTTTGACAACCGTTTCTGTTGAACGCGGATCGTTGTCACGATCCACCTCATTATTACAGAAGTGTGGTGATCGATATAACTGTTGAATTTATTACAAATGTAAAGTAGTTGATACTTTTATCGAACTATTTAAATAGCTTGTTATTAACGCTAGCAAAACGAATGTGTGCGTAGGCGGCAGTCAATGCTCAAGCATATATGCGCATACAAGCTCCACAATAATAACAGTACAATGTTATAGATAAGTTGTTGCCGTACCAATAACTGTTAAATAAGGGACTGCTAAACGGCCTTGTATTTACCAAGTTTAATCAATTTTTCGAATTCTTTTCGCTACTTTTTCGGTCCAGCTTCCGTCGTCTTGCGTGAGTAGATGGGCCTTTCGTTACAGTGTTGTACGACACTGTTGGTTTAAGATCAGTGATGTGTTACCCTTGTCAAATCGGCGTGCTCGTTTAGAGGTGATTTATACGGTTCGCTTTTTTTGACACTACTAAATCCATAGATACATGCTCGGTGATTACTCTTTTTATCACTACTGTACGGTCTTCGTCCAAGAATTGGTTTCGTCGGGGATTTACTAATAAGCTTAAATTCTTTAGGAAATCAATACCGAGTATAGGCACTGATACATCGGTTGTGATAAACTCCCAGTAAAATGAGCTGTTCCAACCGAAGTCCAAGGTTAGCTTTCGCTTCCCAGATGTTTTTATGTCACATTTATTTGCTGCTTTAAGCGTCAGTGCAGTATTACTATTTCGTCTTTCATCGCCCACGGGAGACACGACGCTTATTTCTGCTCCTATGTCCACTCAAAATTGAACACTCGTTGTTCTGTCCTAGACGTAAAATAAACGAATTTTTAGGAGCTACGCCAACTGGCGCGATCGTTTCCCTGTTGTATTAATTTAGATCCGCATGGCTATCCACATTTCCTAGCTCTATCACCATACGTCTTCTGGTGCAACCATATCATGGGAACTGATCGTCTCCTAGAGCGTGATGGGCTTCAGCCGCTCGATCTACTTCGTGATCCTCTCTGTCTGTTTTTCTAATTCAGTCTCGTTAGCTCTTGGCATGGAATACTAACCTCTTTTTCAACGTATCGATTTTATCGTATACCGTAGCGTTACCCATTAGCAGACTGGTATATTTGGTTCTCATATATTCTATCAGCTATTTTTGCGATGTCTGTCTGCATAGCTATCTCCAACTGCGAAGATCTGCTCATTCAGAGGGAGTCGACGAAGCCACAACTGGTAAAATATGCTACTGTCTGACTTTCTGCCCCATATTAAACTTCTCATGTAATTTTTTAGATGCAATGGAGTCCTATCTCTTATATGCACTTTATTGAGGAGCCGACCAATAGTTTGTTGGTCGGTTAAGGAGATGGTCTTTATTACAGCCTACTTTAATACGTCGTTTGGCTTTTCTGTACCTAATTGGCCAGAATCTCTCGTATGTTATCTGATACTTCATCCGGAAGCAGTGGGCCGAATTTCTCTCGTTGTGAATCGATGCGGTTTGCCGGAAAGTAATTCTCAAGTTTAATGAAAAAAATTTATGGGTGGGTGATCCTAAAGGACGTGACGGAAGCGAAAGATCGAAAAGGTAGCGGTGATAGGTAACAACAGGTAACTGTTCAGACTTATCAAGGAAACTGGTGTTAGAAATCTGACTGTTAGTGAGACTATCTCGGCAAAGAATGGTCTTATTATTCATTCTCAATCCAGGAGACTGGATCGATGGGCAGAACACTTTAGGGATCAGTTCAACTGGCCTTCAACCACACTTCGGTTTCCCACGATCTCCAGTCAACCTGAATGGTGAATCGATGTAAGTTGTCCGACTTTATGAAGTTGAGAAAGCGATAGGAAATCCGAAGCAAAGGAGAACGGTGGGTCTTGATAGATTGGTTACTGAGATTTTTAAAGATGTTGGTCCATTTTTAGCATCTAAATTGACTGAGATCTTAGGTAGAATCTGGAGGTTGGGTGTAATACCATCTGACTGGTCTCAATCCCTGATTGTCCCAGTCTGTAAGAAAGGTCAAAAGTCTTCTTGTGACAATCACAGGGGAATCAGCCTAACTAATATAGTTTCTAAATTTTTAGCCTCGATTATCCTCAGACGCCTACCTAGGACTAGTGGAGAGCAGACTCAACAAAACCAGGCTGGTTTTCGACCTGGACGTGGCTGTATAGACCACATTTTCACACTACAACAGGTCCTGGAACGCAGACACATCTAGGCGTCCGACAATAGTTATTTCCCTGAACCTAAAGGCGGCATTTGATTCTGTTGATCGTGAGGTTCTGTCATTGAAAGGTGTACCAAAGAAGTAAATTAACCTTAAAAAAGCTCTCTACTCGAACACCACTGGTCGAGTGAAAGCTTATGGTGAACTGTCATCAGAATTGATTACTTCAAAGGGTGTTCGTCAGGGATGTCCACTTTCTCCATTCTTGTTGAATTTTATCATAGACATGCTCTTAGAAATAACCTTATCCTCGTCTGAATTTTCAGGAGTAGACCTTTTACCAGGTGGCTCGCTTATTGACTTAAAATATGCCGATGACATAGTTCTACTTGGTGAAGACACTGACAAAATGCAGAGTCTTCTGACTACCCTAAGCAACAATGCAAGCATGTTCGGGATGCGGTTTTCCCCCTCGAAATGCAATATGTTGCTTCAAGACTGGGTTTCATCGGCACCTGAACTAGTGATAGGGAGTGAAGTAGTCGAACATGTCGACCGCTTCACTTACCTTGGGAGTCTCATCAGTGCTGATGGCCTGGTGACTGATGAAATCTCAGCTCGGATACAGAAGGCTCGTTTGGCTTTTACCAACTTGCAAGATATCCATCCGCTAACCAAAGGACGAGTGTACTGTGCATCAGTTTACTTCGTCCTACCTTACGGGTGTGAAACATGGCCGGTAAGAGTACAGGATATTCGCAGGTTATTAGTATCCGGTCGTCGGTGTCTTCGAATCACTGCTTGTATTTCCTGGGACCATCGCCTAAGCAATGCTTTTGTTAGGGAACGGGTACTATGTAAGTGTTACGCATGCGCGTGACCACGTCATTTGATATGCCTAAATTATCATGAGTTCACCTTAGTCAGTAAACGAGAGCGAAACTGTGATCCAATGACACGATAGGCCACTCTAATCCGAGCGCCCCAAACCCCCATTGAATGGAAGAAGAAGAATTGATATGAAGTAGAACGTGTATTTTACATGCATCCAGAAAGCACGAGGTCCGAGTCCAGAAGAGGCGAAGGATCTGGGTTATAAAAAGTTGCAGATAATGCATATTTATACAGTTAGGTCGAATAGGAAACAACGTTGAAGTATGTGTCATCGATAGTTCGGACGACCAGTATAATTAGACTAACAAATAATCCTCTTAGGATATTTGGTGAGTATCCTAAGAGTAAGGATGGTCGATCGATTGATGAAGTAGTGAATGTTCATCAGTTGAGCTGGTTGGGACATATGTTTCGTATGCCTAACCACCGACTACCCCGATGAGCTACATTTTGTGATGTAGGGGTAGGCTCGAAGAAAGCTAGGGGTGGCCAAAACGAAACATGGCACAAATCTATGACATCTTCGACAAGTGGACTTATCCATGTGTAGACTACAAGGTTTGGATCCGCGAGTTAATAGTAACTGATGGTTAGGGACTTTGAATGACATGGCTCAAAATCGTTCGCAATGGCTCAGGTGCATCCATTTTAGCCCTTGCTCATGACCTCATGAGCTCAGGACCTTTTCTTATCTCTTTTGAAATTTATTTCGCTGGATCATACTTCTTGAATGATTTCTTCGTACTGTAACCTTTTACATAACCGTTAAATACTGCTAAAACTTCTACTACTATAGGGTTTGGATTGACAATTTGATCTCCGTACAAATGTGATATGGCAACTTGAAATGATGTACGTACGTATGTAGTTTTACGTTGTAGCTGACTTTCTGACGAATGAAACGATATCATAAAACGAAATAAACTTACTAAACATCACCAGTATAAAATTTCTATATATAATGCCGTTTGTTGTGATGGTTAATGTTGTTAAAATACGTTCAACAATGTTGATGAAATGATTTACATGTAGTCAAAATACGACAATAATAATCTACAGTAATAATTTGAATTGAGACAGAGTAAGTTGATTTTCGTATTTCGTTGGAATCGTAGAAAATTGTGTCACATTCGTTAGTCGGACTCACCAATTGTGTGACAGTAGATATTCGGTATATTTCTGAACTTCGTATATTGTCATCCTGACAACCGTTACCATAAAATGCAGATCATTATCACAATTTACTTTATCATTACAAATATATAAGGGTATTATGGAGACCGTAGATTTTATTCGACATCATGAATGAATCATTGTTAGACCACCATCAGAAATCTGAAAGCACCGGATGGCCGTTTCGTCCTGGTTTGGGACTCTTCAGCAGTACTCACCCAGGACTCTGTTGAGCATCCGCGCTCAGGACCGAAGGTCCTGGTTTCGAGTTCTGCGAGTAGCAGGAGTCGTGGATGTACACTACTGATGAGTCCTACACCAGGATGAGACGGGCGTCCAGTGCTTCGCGAGGAAACTCTCGGCGCTCTTGTGAGAAGACGTGACCAGTGGAGTTCAACTCTGTTGGGTGTAGGCAGTAACCACCGAAGACAATGGATGAGGTTGCGCAAAAATCAGATTGATCAGAGTTAGACGTTAACACCGTCGGATGCCGGCTCAGTGGTCCACATATCAGGCGTTCGCGCTCAAAATCGAAAGTCCCAAGTTCGGATCCTGTGAGTAGCAGGAGTCGTGGACGCGCACTGCTGATGAGTCCCAAGCCAGGACGAAACGGCCTTTCAGTGCTTCTAGGTTTCTTATAGTGATTTAACAATAATTCATTCATGCTTTCAAGGTAATATATAAGGGTTGATAGCTTAAGTTTCTTGTTTCTAATCTGGAGTTGTAATTAATGCAATAACTGTTCAGATCACCTTGATTAGTTTCTAATACTCATCGTTATCAGTAGACGGTGTTTAGTACTACTGAGATATTAATACGGATTAGGATATAACGTTTGCTCTTATTTACATAGCTTTAATAAACTGTCTTATTCAATTACCTTTTTCAGCCAGTGCCTATCCTAGTCTGCAAGAAGCTCTCTTAAAGCATCATCTATATGAAGTCAGATGAAAATTGTCTAATTTTCAAACATTTCCCACCAGAAATAGCTGAAGATGAATGTGTTACTTTTTTAAAATCTCTAGGGGCAACCACAGCTCAGTACTTCGGGAATTCCGGTTCTCTTAAATATGTAATGCGTTCCTTTTATATGCTTCATTCTAATTCAGACTTAGTGTGCCTATGCAGAGTTCACTTCTGAACAGCATGCTTGGAATATTATTAAAAATCTTCACCAGAAGAAAATATTAGATCGACGTCTTTCAGTAGAATTTTTCCAGTCTACAGGAGGAGGGTAAAGATGAAATTTTCTAAACCTTCTTTAGATTTCCTCCGGTTAGTAACCAGAAGACCAATTCCGACAAATCTTACAAAGAACAATGCTCTCCTGTAACGACAAATGCTTTTTCAGCTAAGTGGGATCCATCGTTCGAAGTTCCTTCGCGATTGTATTACGAGTATCCGGCTGTATCCAATGACATACTTACAAATATTGTGCGATCTTTAGCTTCTTGTCCAGCATTTTATAATCAGGTAGGTAAACATGGTGATAATTGTACGTGTTTTTGGTCAGGATTCTTGAATATTTTTATGCAATAAATTAAAGTTTTACTAAACCCGAAAGTTTAAGGACATGTTCTACTAATCAGTGTATATGTTAGTGGTTCCTCTTTGGTGGTACAGTTGAATTACTTTATAGTGCATAAGCTCTAACATTGACTCGATTTAGACGGTGGTATCGATCTGCCTTTAACATTTAAATTTGTGAAAGTGTAACAGGCTGACAACATTGAGTGACCTATCAGCCAATCAGGCAAAGTAACATACTCATAAAACGATTAACGGCAAAAAAACATTAGGATAACAATGATACTTATTTTTCTGATTGCTTAAATATATTAGCGTTGATATAAGGGGAACTTAGATATTTGTGCACCACACAAATCAATGAATTTTTGAGTGGTCTGGGATACTTCTCAGATGCTCAAACAGAAACAACTTGTTTTTTTGGGGTGCCCACACCCTGAGTCTTTGACCAAAGGGCCTGGTCTGCAAGGCAGTGAAGCAACGTCGGAAGCTTTAGTCTCTTTGTAGTCAGTGACCAACAATAGGTTCAAACACCATTCGCACCATCATGTATGGCACAGAACGAGGACCTTCCAACTCCCCTAGGCGAATCCGTCAAACCCACCGACCCAGTTGAAGCGCCAGACGCTCACTTTTCGTTGTCTCAATTCCTTAAACAACACCGTGGCCATGAGAAGGCAATCAGGTAGGACTACCCTGGTAGTGGCTATATATCCATGATCATATGAGAGTATTTCAAGAGGGAGACTGGATTCTTTCCGCTATCAACCGTACCAGAGTATTTTGGGGCTTTGATCCAAGTAGTTAACCTTTACACGTCGAATTATTATTTGTAATGAGAGAAAAAGTTTAGGGTTACATATTGGTAGTAGAATTAATACTATAATTTCAGGTTTTCAACTCATAGACCTTTCATCGCCCAGTGACACCAGTTCTAATCTAAAGAGTTTAGGGTTAGCTACTGAGCCTTAAGCTGCAATTCTGAATCGGGTTTACGAATTAGGATTAAGGATTACATCATTAAATGTCACCAGCTTTTAATGCAATGTTTTGTGAACCTTTGTAACTTCAGCCTTTGGTCAGTTTGCTGTGGCCTGAAGGTACCTTGTGTGTTGAAGGAGTGTGAGGAGGAGGATGTGAGGTTGACTGGAAGTGGAAAGAACAAGAGAAAAGCGAGATGCCGACTCAGTAAGCACATAGAATGTTTCTACATTTATTTAAGAAGGCCATCGACAACAGTCAAAAATAACTCAAGCATGCGATTAAGACAAAGTGATAATCGGATATATGAAGTGTTATCTGGATTGTGATTGGTTAGCTCAAGGCCTGCCATTGTGTCATATTTTTACCTCTTATATCAGTTAAGCGTTAAACTGTCACAGACTTGATAATACGAGTAATTCAATCACAATCAACGTGGGACTTAACACAGTTGCTTCAACCCTTATTACACCATATTAGCACGAAATAAGTCAAAACAATGGCCAAATAATTAATAATATAAGCAATTAAAAAGTGAGTTCTCTGGATAAAATGTGTGAAATAATGTCAAGACTAATAGCATAAAAGATCATAAAGAATAATTTCATCTCGGCTACCTAAATTTGGTTAAAACCAACAGTCATCAAATATCATGTCTGAAAAGACTAGATTCAATCAGTAACAACCATTTTACTGTTTGATTAACGAGTAGGTAACATTGTAGTTCTTCAAAAATCATAAGTTCTCTGAAATCTGTATTAGATTTATTTTCTATTTAACATTTTGAACTGAAATCTATACAAAAACGTCATTTTCTGATGGTAGTATTATTTCAAAAAACCTTATTAATTTTTCTTGTTACTATTTATTGTTTATTATTTCTGAAACACCTCCCCTCTTAACTAAGGTTGGTTCAGTCAGTTAGATTACAGGATTGTAGGATCACAATCAAAATAGTGACCGACGAAATATATCCTTACCGGGAATCGTATACTATGTGTACTTTTTTTGTTGAACAACTATATAATGTATCATTTCGATTTTTGTTACTGTTTCCACCAACTACAATTATGACAAGATAGCATCAATCAGTCAACAGCAACGTAGAACTTCGTATGTACGCATGTACATCAGTCCAAGTTGTCATACCATATTAGCACAGATATGTAATTGTCAATTTAAATCCCACACTAGTAGGGGTAGTAAAGGTATTAGTAGTAATTGGAGAGATTAGGGTTTGAAGATATTATTCAAGAAATAGAATCTAGTGAAATAAACTTAAAAAAAGATAAATAAAGGTGATAAGGAACTCCACCTGTAGGCCCTTTGGGGCTCCTGCCGGTCCCAAACCTGGATAAAGGAGGAGGGTTGGCGACCCCGTGCCGGAAGAAACTAAGATGCCCAAAAAACGCTAATAAGAATGTCCGCCGAATCACTTTAGTTGATACTGTACGTTATATGTAGCCTAAACTGGCGTAGATAAATGTTTGGTCAATTTTAAAGTGGGCAGCTTGATCATTACTATGTTTTCGGTTAAATAATATGTCTAATTGTCACAGCTATGGTGACGAGTTTAGGTAAATCCTCAATGCTAATAAATGTATGGAAAGTTAAATTGTTTTTGTACATCCTAATTTAAAAACAATAACAGTCAATGACAATTTAGCACACTAATTTTTTAATATCTAAACCTTAAGTATACCGTAAAGCTGATGATACATGCACTGCATAGAGATTCTGGCTAATCTGTTGACAAAATGTTTCTAAATGGAAATATTTCTGCTAACCAGTAAATAGTAGTGATTTCACAGCTTCATCTAAAAAAAAATAATAATAAAACCGCTTAAAATAAATTATTGAACATTTTTGTATTCACGTTCAACAATTTGTGATAATATTTTTTTTACATGTTTTTCTTTTCTCTCTCTGCAGGTACTACACATCATGAACAAACTTCATTTACCGCCACCATTTAATGATCCAGAACATTTTCCTGGTGATTATCTAGTCATTTCAGCTTCAGATTATGCAAAAATGCAAGCTTTAGTAAAAAACAACAACCGACCCATGTCAACAGAGGAGAACAATGACTCAGGTTCAGTTTCAGAAGAAATGGATTTATCTAGTGGACCGGAATCTGAACTGGCTTCTGGTAAAATCTCTTAATTTCATTTCTAAAATTTTCCTTAGATGATGAAAAAACAACAACTTTACAAGTAAAAAAAAGTATCCCAGTCAGACGACGTTTTAAAGTTCACAAAAAACTCCCATCTGTATTATCTGCTCGTTTACCCAAGACTTCAAAACGTAAAAACATTCCTGTCGCTGATGTATTTGAACCACATCAAGCGGCCAAGAAGTTGAATTTGCCAAAAATTCTTGATATCAATTCTCAACAGGATCATCATAATTCATGTGATGATGAATCTGAAGGTGGATTCGGACTGATTCATACAGAGACTAAAATAGAGACAAGATATTTTGTTGATGAAACAATTCAGAATGCTCAAGAAAATCATGCATCAATCTTTTCTAATTTCCAGCTCCGTAAAGGTAAGGAAGTTTTTGTGAAGTCTATTCATGATACCATTAGCTCGTCAATTGATATGCTTGAAACTATTACGAGTTCAGCTTAGTCGGTAAACGAGAACGAAGACAGATGATCCAGTAACACGATAGGTTACTCTAATCCGACCATCTCAAGGTCTCCACTAAGTAAAGGAAGAAGTATTGACAAGACGTAGAAGTATATTCTACAAGCATCCAAAAAATATGAGGTAGACAAGCACACAAATCGAGTTTATTTATACATGATAGAAACGTCCTTGGAAGAGCCACAAAAATAGAGTGCTAAAACAATACAAATACATCAACCAATAACAACCAAGAATTTCCGTGTTGGAAATGCAGTCTCAAGGTTAACTGATCAGCTCATGCGCGAAAGCATAAAATCCAAAATTAGTACTCTTATTAAGTGAGTTCTGGGGATCTAACATCTTTAACAGTAAATTCTAGAATTTGATGTATACACTTCATTTAGCTTCACAGATATTCGGTCATTCAATGTGGAACAAAGTTTTGTTCTCGATTACTTACGTGTAACTAACAAAAAGCTTTACTGATCATTGGATTACACAAGTTAAATCAGAAGATAGTAAGTAATTTGAAATATATAAAATATCAGATGTATTCAGGTAGAACATTTCTTAAACTTTCTTTTAGACGATTTAATTCTACAAATTTTCTATTCTGTTTATCTTTTTTTTTCTACACAGAACAATTGTCTGATGAAGAACATGAAAACTTGGAACATTTAATCCCACTTCCATCACAACCACCTTCAAGTGGTGAAACTATGTCAACGGTTACTGACAATAACTTGTTTAATTTTGTAACAACACTTTCTATTGATGAAATCACATCCAATTGTTTAAAAATTGAAGATCGAATCAATTATCCAGTATTTGCTAAATACGATACTGGAGCTATCACCTCACGTTTGTATATTAAAAACTTATCACAAATGGTTACAGAAACTGACTTGTTTCAAATATTCGGGGTATTTTCAAATGGACCTGTGACTGACAATAATTACAAACCAAAGGTTCCGTTAGATTCAACAGAGTGTTTTTCAATAAGACTATTGACTGAAGGTCGAATGAAAGGTGAGTAATGAAATGATGCTATGCGCTAGTTTACTTCTTAACCCTTTTTAATTGTAACAGAAATAATAAATGGAGTCTATGTGGTCTAGTCCATGTTCTTGAATACATAGTCACTTGATCAATGTACGATATCCAGTTGTCAGATTTTCGTAGACCTTGAGAATACTTGAATGTGTGCACAGTCTAAATATGCAATCCTTACTCAGTCAGTTGCAACGTAGAACTTCGTACGTATGTACATAGGTTCATGTTGCCATACCACAGCACAGAGACGCAAATGTCGAATCAAATCCCATAGTGATAAAGATAATATAGGTATTAATGGTAATGAAGAAGACTAGGGTTCGAATATATTATTCAAGAAATATAATTCAGTGAGATAAGGTTAGAAAGACAAAGGTAGAGGTGCTGACGAATCCAGAAGATTAGGATTTGAGAGAGCTCAAAGAGTGGATGCACCTGCGCCATTGCAAACGATTTTGAGCCATGTCGTTCAAGGTCTCTAACCATTGATGACTTTCGTCTCGCGGACCCCAACCAGGTAGTCTACATCTACCAACATGACTCAGTCCACTTGTCAGTGATTAGTGTTGGTCTCGGAGACCTGGTTGCGTGACCGCAGAGTCCATGGGACAACTGATTGAGGCCTGTCACGCACAGACTTTTTATGAAACGTTTTTTGAGGATTAGCTCCGTTCTTAAAGGCCCTTAGTGGGCACCCTTACCCAAGGAGACGGAAATCCGTGAGGTAGGGGAGGTGTGACATTTTTAGGGCCGACCTTTTCTAACCCTTCCTTCCTTGTGAGAAGGCAGCATCGCTGCAGATGCTGGTTGTCCGAGGGAAACACCTTACTGCTGTCACACCCCTCTGCAGTCAGCAGTACGACTTCGCCCTCAGACCTTGGGTAGCTGCTTTTAGTCTCATCGTTCTCCAATCGACCAGCCTGGCATGGTAGGACCTGCAGGAACATGTATTCCAGCCAGTATAGCTCGGTTGGGTCATCACGATAGGCAAGTCCGACCACCACGTCAAGGTAGCAGCTTCGGTCCTTACTGGCAATATACAATAATATATCAGTGCATTCTACTGTCTTTTTAATTTTTTCTTCACAGTATAAATTTCAAATTCATTGTTTTCTTTTCTCAGGTCAGGCATTCATTGGCCTTGCATGTGAAACAACTGCTAAACAAGCATTGGAAGCAACAAACGGTTATATGTTATATGATCGTCCAATGGTTGTTCACTTTGCTAGAGGAGCTAAAGCGAAACCAGATGAAAAAAGTTTACTATTATCAAAATAATGCTATTGATAATTCATAACACCAACAGGATTCACATCCAAAGTTTGAATCTTACACAATCAATGAATTGTATAAATGTCCGATGTACAAATTGTAAATATATGAACCATTAGTTTATTGCATTGTAACAATTTCATCTCAAGTATGACCATTCATAAATATAACTATCTCAAGTAAATCCAATAAATAATATAGTTGAGGAGTGAGAGTATTAAGAAGAAAAACCCATTTTGATTGCTTAGTATTAATTAACATCTCCATTCTTCTAAGCATTGAGAAAGTATTTACAGTTAACAACAAATGATCAGTTTCGACGATGTTCATAGTCGTTCATCTTCTTTGACCATAATCTTACTCACTATTACGATTGACTGTAATTTTTCATACGTGACTGAATTAATTACTTCATTTACGAACACTTGTGTGGTTGTATAGACCACATATTCACTCTTCGTCAGGTCCTAGAACACAGACATACATTTCGGCTTCCGACAATGGTTGTCTTCCTGGATTTTAAGGCAGCATTTGCCCCTGTGGGTTGTGAGGTTCCGTAGCAGTGTCTGTCATTAAAACGTGTACTAGAGAAGTAGACTAACCTTTACTCGAACACTACTGGTTGAGTTAGAGCTTATGGCGAACTGTCATCAGAATTGATTACTTCAAAGGGTGTCCGTCAGGGATGTCCACTTTATCCATTCTTGTGTACTTTGTCATAGACATGCAGCTAGATATAACATTATCTTCGTCTGACTTTTCGGGGATGGAAATTCTACCAGAAGACTCGCTTGCTGACTTAGAGTATGCTGATGACATAGTCCTATTCGGTGAAGACGCTGACCAAATACAGTCTTCCGACTACTCTAAGCAACAATGCAAGCAAGTTCGGGATGCGATTCTCTTCGTCAAAATGCAAAATATCGCCTCAGGATTGGCTTGTACCGGCACCTGAAGTAGTAGAGCACAGTGACCTCTTCACTTATCTGGGGAATCTCATCAGTGCTGATGGGCTGGTGACTGACGAAATCTCAGCACAGATACATAAAGCTCGCTTGGCTTTTGCCACCTTGCGTCACTTATGGCGTAGGCGATATATCCGTTCGCTAGCCAAAGATACTGTGCAGTTGTTTGCCCCATCCTATTTTATGGCTGTGAAACATGGCCAGGGAGAGTAGAAGATATTCGTGGGTTACTAGTATTCGATCATAGATGTTTTCGAAGCATTGCTCGTATATCCTGGGACTATCGAGTGAGCAATGCTGTTGTTAGGAAACAGGTACTAGGTAAGGATGTCAGATCGATAGATGAAGTAGTGAAACTTCACCAGTTGTGATTGGGACATGTGTTGTTACTTATGCCCAAACACCGACTGCCTTGACGAGCAATGTTTTGTGGTGTAGGAGTAGGTTGGTAGAAAGCTAGGGGCAGCCAAAGTAAAACCTGGCACAAATCCATGAATTCACTGACAACTGGACTGAGCCATGTCGGTAGATGTAGACTACCTGGTTGGAGTCCGCGAGATGGTAATAATTGATGGTTAGAGACGTTGAATGACAAGGCTCAAAACCGTTTGCAATGGCGCAGGTGCATTCATTCATTGAGTTCTCTCAAATCCTAATTTTCTGAATTCCCGATGAACGTTCATTTCTCTTTTTTTAATCGGATCTTCTGGGGTATACATTTCGATTGATGTATGTAAATAATAATCTTTTTTATTACTGCTAATACGTCTGATACCTTCACTACTATGGGATTTCAATTGATAATTACATCTCTATACTAATGTGTTATGGGAACTTGAACCGATGCACGTACGTAAGAAGTTCCACGTTGTAACTGACGAACACTAACAGAACGTTGTTGGTATTACGCTGGCAATCTCCGACTCTTGATCCACACACTATATATATATATATATATATATATATATATATATATATACATGAACAGTGCAATGAAGTGTTGAAATCCTTAACACCTCTAGTCATTTTCTTTATATTTTGGTGATAGTTTCATTCACTTACGAAGCAAACATTTATGTACTCAGCTTTCAGCCACTCTGTGGTGTGAGCTACTTATAAGTAGTATATGACGCGAGCGTCAACGTAATGTCTGGCAGACGAAGATGGGAGAAGATCAAGAAAGGAAGAGTTAGAACACAAGTGGAATTTGTATGAAACACATCATGAATAGTGACAATGGATTGATGTCGTTTGCAACAGAAACAGCAGTCCAGTTCGATATGATGAACTGTTATTTTGCAAATGAACAATTTACGATATGGTTTTTCCGATTTTACTGAGTAACTCTGTAATTTTCGTTAAATACAATTCGGTTGCCCTCACCTGTGTTCTCGTTCACTACAGTATCTTTTAGGTGAAGTCTTTAAACTTCAAACTATTGCTGTTGTTTTCAAATTACTCACAAACAAAATGTAGATAATATTAGCGCATTAATGATAATTATCAAATTATTATTATTGACTGTAAATGTGTAGCAATTGTGCAAATGTCATATTATATATGTATATCGTTACCATAATTACAGATAAACTAAATGGGAATGTAATAGTATATTTTTTTTTTAGTTACAAGTTAAAAACAATTAAGATCAAAAACTATGAAAATAATAATGAAAAAAAAGAAAGAAAGACAACATTCTGATTGATATGTAAATGTAAATGTAAATAATTTCTTGTTTACAACAATGATATAATAATAAGTGAAGAGATTAACAATTCAAATTTAAAAGTTTTAATTAACTAGAATGAATTTCTAATTGTTTAAAGAAAAGACTACGCACAATATTTGCAGGAGTACAACAGTATGATGTATTCATTGTTTTATTGCCAGATAATGTGGATTGAAGTCGAACTAATTTACGATTGGCTTCTGCTAATTTGAATAATTCATGACTTCGTCGAACATGTGGAGGTTGAAATGAATCCGAGGCTAAACGACGTCGTCGTGATAAATTGATTACAGTTTGTCTTACAAAACTACTAAGACAACGTTGACTTAATACAAATCCATTTTGTAATGGACCAGCTTCAAATGTTCTACCATGCATACGCATAATACCAATTCTACATAATCCAGAACTTAAAGGATGAATATAAATTGTAACAGGGCAGTCAAAAGTTTTACAAGTCATATTTTGTATATTCATTCCAATTCCTGGTCCACAATGCATTGGTCCATCTTCCCATCGTTCAAGCCATACAACTGCTACTCGACCTCCAGTTGGGTCTGCACCAACTTCTCCCATACCTACTACGCTTTGACCAGTCCCACGAGTGACATTAGCTAGTACCGATGATAATTAAATCAAATACAAAATGATTACAAAGGATTAAAAGATTGTTTTCAAAAAATAAGAATTACTTATCGAGTAACAACCACATATATTATTGACGTAGAGTTAAATTACTTAGAAAGTCTTTTCATTTCAGCATGTAAATTCAGTACAAAACCACCAAACAATTTGTTATATGATTAAAAATGAGTATTTAGAAATCGTGAAACGTTTGCTTTAGTTCATTGATAGGCGTGGAAGTTTTTATCATTTGACATACGCTCAATTGAGTATGTTATATATAGTCTAATATTTCCAATGATTTATGCGTAAATTCTTATAATGTGAATTGCAATAAATAAAAATTCAAAATCAAATCAGATTCGTTATCAAGTAAACTTATCAACGGAATACTTATTATTTCTAAATTAAAATACATTTACTAGAGTTGTGATATCTCAAATGTTTACTTAATATATATACACACAGTTCTATCAAACAACAGTCGTCCTCAAAGTTCTAAACAACTAGATTCCCTTCAAAACAGTACCGATCAGCGGATTGTATCGCGTACTTCGAAAAAATCAGGTTTTATAAGGTCGACTGTATACAGTCTTAACAGTGGAATATTCCATGTCTTTTGTATTGAACAGTTAAATCGAGAAGTTATACAGACAGACAGATGTAACGCAGAACTTCGTACGTAAGTACATCAGTTCAGGTTGCTATACCACATTAACAGAGACGGCAATGTGAAATCAAATCCCATAGTGATAGAGATAGTAGAGGTATTGTTGGTAATAAAGAAGATTACAGTCCGAAGATATGATTCGATAAGTACAATTCAGTGAGATGAATTTAGAAGGAGAAAGATAGAGATTATGAGGAATTCAGAAGGTTAAAATTAGAGAGAACACAAAGAGTGACTTCATAGATTTCTGCCATGTTTTGGTTTGGCCGCCCCTAGCTTTCTTCCAACCTACTCCTACACCACAAAACATAGCTCGACGAGGCAGTCGGTGGTTAAGCATACGCAACACATGTTTCAACCACCTCAACTGATGAAGTTTCACCAGTTCATCTATTGATTTGTCATCCCTACCTAGAGCTCGTTTCCTAACGATAGCATTGCTTATACGGTTGTCCCAGGATACACGAGCAATGCTTCGGAGACACCGATGATCAAATACTAGTAACCTACGAGAGTCCTCTGCCATTAACGGCCATGTTTCGCTTCCGTGTAGTAGGACGGAGCAAACTACTGCCCAGTACACTAGTCCTTTGGTTAGCAAGCGGATATCTCGCATGCGCCATAAGTGACGCAGGTTGGCAAAAGCCAATCAAGCCTTCTGTATCCGTTATAGACGTTATTCTTACACCTATTATTATTGTAACTAATTTTAAACTTACCAATATTTTCACTAGCAGTACGATAACGTGTATTCTTTAATAAACGATTTGTTTCAGTTTTCTCTTCATTTCCATTAAATTTATTAGTAGGACAAATACATGCTAATTCTGTCATTGCATCAGCATAATATATAATGGATTGAATACCATCTGGACAATGATCAATATGTAGATTTTTTTTTGTTGAATTACAATGATTCGTTGATACACGATAACTAGTTTGAAGATTTCCTGTCCAACCTGGATGATCAGAAATAGTTTTAATACAACCGATACCACTTAAGAATTGATGAAATGCTTCCGATAGTCTTGGCCAAATTTTCTATCCAGTACAATAAAAAGGAAAATTCCAAAGATGAATAAAAAAACTATGCGGTTGAAAATCCAAAGTGGAATGTTTAAACATAACAGCAAGAAAAATTATTTATAATAACTCAAAGAAAATTATTTAAGTCACTAAAAACTCTGTTTAAACATTTATTGAATGTAAAATATAGTTAGTTCTTTGTGGAGTAAGTTCTATGGAAGCCATATATGCATGAGAATCGATGAGCAAGTGACACTTCCATTTTAGACATTTTTGAAACCATGAATCGATCAATGTTAGACCACCATTAGAAACCTGGAAGCACTGGACGGCCGTTTCGTCCTGGTTTCAAAAAATGTGTAACTTAACAATCTTCACAACCCCGTAATGCAAACTTCCATTTTAATTGCATAACTGTTAGCAAGACAAAACATTTCAAATGAGATTACGTTGGAGTGCGCTGATTGGTTCACTTTCAGCTAATCAGCGCTAACGAACAACCTGAATAGATTACCAAATATTTCGGTGTGAAATTAACAAATACAGTGACACTTTGTTTTCCACATTGACTGGACTTGATGTTCGTTCCATTTGGAAAATATTTACGCTCCTGTACAAGCCATGTTTTATTTAGTGTAGCGATCGGTCCAGTAAAGTGTCCAAGAATATCAGGCTGAATAAAGAGACTTAACAGTAACAGTGACATCAATTCAATTTGATCAATGTGACAACTATCATATACATTCGATAGAACAATTAGCAGAACATTCTTCAGAATATTTTTCTCCTAAGTTTTAGTGCTTTTATATTCCTTCATATAATTATAGATTTCGTTTTAGTTAATGTCACACCTGAGTTTATTGTCATTTAGAAATCCAACAATGAAAAATAATTGCCACAGAGATTTCTTAAATGAATGATAAGATATGTATGAATAATTGTTCATTAAAAATAAACTTTTTAACAAGCGACAACTTAGTCGTTTTACTGATAATAATATTAGTTTCATGTCTGACTGAAGGTAAACTAAGGGGAGTTGAAGTAAAAACAACAACTGGTTTTAATAGCTAGCTTAATAGTTGTTTCTAAAGCTAACAGAAACTTTTCAAAATGTTATGTAATTTATCTTTATTCATTGATATGCTTTCAGTTAAATTCCACTTTATTGAACGGTTTTCTTGTCATTCAGTCAGCTAAAACATAGAACTTGATACAGATGTATATCAGTTCAAACTGCCATACCACATTAAGACAGGGAGATCGAATTGTCAATTCAAATCCCATAGTATTAGAGATAATAGAAATATTAGCGGTCATGGAAAAGATTACGATTCGAAGATTTGATTCGAGAAGTATATCACAGTGAGAAAAATTCGAGAAGAGAAAATAGGTCATGAGGAATTCATAAAATTAGGACTTCAGAGGATACAAAGAATGGATGCACCTGCGCCATTGCAAATGATTTTAAGTCATGTCATTCAAGGTCTCTAACTATAGGTTACTATCATCTCGCGAACCCCGACCAGGTAATTTGCACTAACCAACATGACTGAGTCCACTCGTCAGTGACTTCATGGATTTGTGTCATGCTTTGTGGTTTGGCCACTCCTAGCACTCTTGGCACCTTGTGCCTTGACCATTGTGTTAGTCATGTTCATAACTAACCAATCAAATAGTGATTTAAGCGCTCACCACGTGATCTGGTCTGACAAGTGTCTGTAAACTATCTCTGTTGCATGTGACCTACCAATTGAAAGACATTATTATCTTATTATATTAACGTGACTCATAATTTTATTCATTTTGATAAGACACACAATATTGATCGGTATGTTTGTTCGTTTCACTTAATAGCTGTAATTTCCTTAATTATTGTACTAATCTAATTGTTTTTTACGTTTAGAAACAGATAAAGATTAAAGCAAAGTTGGTCTTGTTCTAACTATAGCTTTCACATAGACTCTGTCTGTGCTTCCCAGTATTGGGATTTACCGTTCTAGTAGTACATCTGTAGGAAAAATTAAATCCTACACATTGCATTCCTATCAGTTTATTCTGGTTAACTGACCATTATTTTATATTATTTCTTGTTTTTCTTTATAAATTTAACATTCACTATTTACATGGTAGTTTAAGTTATTCTGGTAGAGGAGATCTATCTTTTCTTTACAACGAAGTGTTAACTGTTGACGAACATTTGTATCATGGAAAGCGAATTTTACAAAAACAAATCGGATTACGTACAACACTAAGTGGCACATTATCCGATGGATAGAGTTAAACAGTTTCTACTGATAACAAGGGGCAACTAACAGTAAACTGTTTATGTAAATGTGTGGAATGAATCTTAGGTAAGAAGTGATTTTTTGAAATCCCAATATCATATATTTTTTATCAGACGGACGGATGGATGGAGGCGGCTAGTAAATATCATTATTCTCCAATGTTAAATATTTAGAGTTATTTATTTAAAAGAAAAATCCTGAATTGAATTTTGAAGCCCAGGGAGTCATTTTCTACTGTGTAACAAATTCAATTCCTATTCTACATTTAAACACATATCTAGTTAAAAGTTATCAGTCAGTCAGTCAGTTGCAACGTAGAACTTCGTACATAAGTACATCAGTTCATGTCGCCATACCACACATCAGCACAGAGATGTAATTGTCAATTCAAATCCAATAGTAGAAGAGTTAGTAAGGGTATTAGAAGTAATCGGAGAGGTTAGGATGAGAAGATATTATTCAAGAAGTTTGATTAATTGAGAAAAGTTTAGAAAGTCAAAACTAGAGGGGTTGAAGAATCCAGAAGATTAGCATTTGAGAGAACACAAAGAATAAATGCACCGGCGCCATTGCAAACGATTTTGAGCCATGTCATTCAAGGTCTCTAACCATCGATTGTTATCATCTCGCGGACCCCAACCAGGTAGTCGACAATTACTGACATGGCTCAGTCCACTCGTCAGTGACTTCATGGATTTTTGCCATGTTTTGGTCTGGCCGCCCCTAGCTTTCTTCCAACCTATTCCTACACTACAAAACAAAGCTCGTCGAGGCAGTAGGTGGTTGGGCATACGCAACACATGTCCCAACCACATCAACTGATGAAATTTCACCACTTCATCGATTGATCTGCCATTCTTACCTAGCACCCGTTTCCTAATAACAGCGTTGCTCACTCGGGTGTCCCACGATATACGAGCAATGCTTCGAAGACACCTATGATCGAAAACCAGTAACCTACGAACGTCTTCTACTCTCACTGGCCATGTTTCACAGCCACAAAGTAGGACGGAGCGAACTACTGCGCAGTACACTCGTCCTTTAGTCAGCAAACGGATATCTCGCCTACGCCATAAGTGACGCAGGTTGGCAAAAGCCAATCGAGCCTTCTGTATCCGAGCTGAGATTTCGTCAGTCACCAGGCCATCGACACTGTGAAATAAAGTTATTTTTAATAAACAGAAATGTAAAAATACTACTACTACTACTAACAGTAGTAGTAATCTTACCATATTCTCAAGAATATCATCCTCTTTTGACTGACCAATAGCAACATAAAAAACTAACAATGTATCACCAGTTCTTGTTGGCATATGATCTAAATTTGTTAATATATCAGCAAATTCGGCACTTTTCACATTGAATGGAAATAAAGGCAATAATTCATCTTCCGTGTTAGTTGATGATGAATTCGATGAGAAGCCTTGCATAATACGATTATTTGTTGTTAAAGCTATACTTTGTCGATTTGTCAGATCAGAACGTTCAGTTGATTGACTATCACGTTTCAACTCTGGACGTGGCCATAATGATTGTGGCATTTGATAAGGTCCCATTGATAAATAACCCAAATGTGTTAATAATAAACGTATTGGATGAAAATTAACAACGGAACTGACAAAAGGAAAGTAGAAAAAACAAAATTCTTGAAAAAAAATTATTAGTTGTTAAACAAATAGAAGTAATCAGATCAGATTTATTCATGTTGGAGTGTGGGGGGTGGGTGGGAGAATTGTACAAGAAACTAATCAATCAGAGATCAATGAACATAGTGTATGACCAGTTTTCATTAGGAATCGATTTTTTTTTCAAGATCACTTCTTAATTGGTGGCACTCAAAAAAGAGAGGATTTTATTACGAGTTCATAAAGGAGTGCTGTGTATTATGAACTAATAATTGTTAGGATATTCATCCAATATCCTAAGCGAATTGTTCTATTGCTCAATTCGTATTGGTCGTCCTAAGTATCAATGTCACTTCAAAGGTTGTTTCCCAACTGTCAATGTCACATACTTCAATGTTGTTTTCTATTCGACCCAGATCCCTAGTCTGGGATCCTGATTCTCGTCTGGACTCGGATCTCGTACTTTCTGGATGCTTGTAGAATAAAGGTTCTACTACATATCAAGTCTTTTTCCTTTACTCAATGGGATTTTGGGACGCTCGGATTAGAGTAGCCTGTCGTGTCGCCAGATCCTCGATCCTCGCTCTCGTTTTCCGACTAAGGTAAACTCGTAATAGTTCAAGTATATCAATTGACGTGGTCACGCGCATGCGTAACAGTTTTTTGATTGGATGTAACTCACTTTCTCAGAGTAACTAAATAACCGTACTAAATTAACACTGGTTTAAATAGACTAATCTAAGATGTGACTTAGACTCAGTCAGTCACAAAACATCAGAATATCAAACACCTACTTACCTACTTATTGAGATATCACGAACACACTATTGTTTTATTCCAAACATTTTAATATTCATTAAGTAGGAAAATGTTCTTCTCTTAAAAAAACACAGCAGCTTTCGAGTCAATATTTATAAGAATAACTTTACTTCCAACAAATAAACATGTGGACTGGTCATTACTGTGTAAATCATCTGCTCTCTTTCAAAAGCAATTAGTACTTCAATATCATACAATTATAAGTTTTTTCAATTAGAGTTATGGAGATTAGTGCTTGTTGCAAATCAATCAATCATTGTTAGATCGATCAGAGTTATACGTTAACACCTTTGGATGTCAGTCCAGTGGTCCAGAGGTTAGGCGCTCGCGCGCAAGACCGAAGGTCCTGGGTTCGAATCCTGCGAGGTGCAGGAGTCGTGGATGTGCACTACTGATGAGTCCCATACCAGGATGAAACGGCCGTTCAGTGCTTCCAGGTTTCTAATTATAAGCTTTTCCGGCCTAAATACTGCTTTTATTCTGATAGCTATACACACACAAATTATTGATGACAGAAATCTTAACGATACACTGGTTACTAAGTTTTCAATGAAAGCTCTCTATCCAACTATGTGAATGAATATGTTATCGAAATACCTGTTATGCAATATCACAATTCAAATAATGAATCGATCAATGTTAGACCACCATTAAAAACCTGGAAGCACTGGATGGCCGTTCCTTCCTGGCATTGGACTCATCAGCAGTGCGCATCCACGACTCCTGCACCCCGCATGATTCGAACCCAGGACCTTCGGTTTAGCCCACGAATGCCTAACCTCTGGACCACTGAGACGGTATCTAACGGTTATAATGTTTAACTTCGATCAATTCATGGAGTACTGATCGAAGGGGTGCAGGAGTCGTGACTGCGCACTGGTGATGAGTCCCATACCAGGGCAAAACGGCCGTCCAATGCTTCCAGGTTTCTAATAGTGGTCTAACATTGATCGATTCATGATTTCAATGTGTAACTTAACAATCTTCACAACCCCGTAATGTAATATATCATCACTGACAGTTCAAATCCATCAACAAAAAAGACATGAATAAAAAATTCAAATAAATTTTTGCAACTCTTTTCATGTGTGTTATTACTTTGTTCAATCAAATCGAACTTACATTGGTGCTTTTGCTTCTGTGATTCGATCAGGATAAGGTGCATTGATTTTCTCTTGAACACAACGTAATCCAACTTCTTTTGTCAATGGAGCATGTTTAGCTATTAATGTTTTAAATGCATTAATTTCTTGTTTAACATTACTGCCAAGTTCATTAGCGACTTTATCCAGCGAGACTATTGTACGATCACTAAGTTTGGTATGAGAAAAGAATGAAGAATATCAATATTGATGCACAAAAGTACAACACGAAGAATTTTATGAACAAATGAGAAAATGAATTACAGCTTAATGTGTATCATTATTGCTATGCTTGTGCTAATTAAGATACGACTTGATATCGGCGTCGTTGGCCAGACACCATCATTTACAACCTACTGTGGGAGAGAACAAACCAGATTCCAGTGGAGGAAGAAATCAATAAGAAGCGGTAGAAGTGAATAGGACACACTGCGAAAAGCATCCAACTGCGTCACAAGACAAACCCTCACTTGGAACCCTCAAGGTAAAAGGAAAAGAGGAAGGCCAAAGAGCACATTACGCCGAAAAATAGAGGAAGACATGAGAAAAATGAACAAAAATTGGAAAGAACTGGAAAGGGAAGCCCAGGACAGAGTAGGTTGGAGAAAACTGGTCGGCGGCCTATGCTCCATTGGAGGCAACAGGTGAAAGTAAGTAAGTTAGTTGATATCAGCGGATAGAACGTAAACCAGTGACAGGACAGGTCCACCAGGGTGTCAGGTACTTGTGTGGTTGCACCACGGGATTGAGCCGGACTTTTCACGTGGGCAGTCTCCTTGGTTCTCCTGAAAACCAATGCTAAATTACCCTTGCCAATAGGGCGTTAATCTATATAATTGTGAATTATAAACCCCGAGGGAACGAATTAACAAGCATTTATTTCAAGCGTAATATATACAGTACAAAAAAAGCGTACTTCTAAGTTAGAAACAAGAACTGAGGGTTATAAGAGTCGCTTTTGGCACGACAATAAGAAATCCAAATTTCCAAAAATAAAATATAAAATTAAGAGATTTTTCAAATGATTTCTGGGGATTCAGCATCCCCAACAATCATAAAAAATCTAAAACATAACTATGAAAGAGTGATGAATCTTATTGACGAAAAATGTACAAATGAAAAGAAACAACACTTAGGAGAATGATACTAACAGGAAATGGTAACCCTGAGACTCAAAGTCCTGGGTTTTACATTAAGCATGATTGCTATGAGTGCCATCTACTATACGTTTTAGCCTCCGGTTATAAATTGTTCTCCACATCCGTAATCTAAACTACCATCGTATCGAATAGATCTTCAGAAACAATGTAGTTAAACGACAAAAAATATGAATTTTCTGAATTTCCGGTGGAAAGTTATAAATCGTGGAGTTATCTAATCGTTTTAGAACTGACACATTACCCCAACCCCTCTAGTCTTGACTTTCTAAACTTATCTCACTGAATCATACTTCTTGAATAATATCTTCTAATCCTAACCTCTCCAATTAGTTCTAATACATTTACTACCTCCTCTACTATTGGATTTGAATTGACAATTATATCTCTGTGCTGGTGCGGTATGGCAACAAGAACTGATGTACTTACGTACGAAGTTCTACGTTGCATCTGACTGACACATTACCCAATTCAATAACACCGAATGAAGATGCGCTAAATTTCAAATTGACTGAAGTTAAAAATATTGAACGTTGAACACAGACCTAATCACTTAATGATGTTGAACTTGCTGAAAAGCTTGAACATCCTTCAGTCAATCCTCTGTAATGGCTGTGACTAAAAGTAGCTGAATAATGCAAAGTTAGGAAAAAACAGTTGTCATATGACCCTTGAGTATCAATAGTCCTCCAACCTGTTATTTTAAAAAATCTTTTGTTATTAGTTTCACATGATACACCTAATTAAAAGATGTACTTTACTTGTTTAAGATATGTTAAACGACGCACTAAAAGATATTTTATCTTTTAATAATGTCCTTAAACACATATAAGTGCATAAACGCAGTTTATGTATGCGCCAGTTGCATAACAATAAAAAGATTATACAAACTGTAAATAATCTTTTATTGCCTCCCCCCTCCTGTATTGATAAGCTAGATGTAATATCATATTATTCACAATCCAATCTGAATTCATGAATTGAATTGAATTGAAAGTCAAAAGTGAATTTGTAACGTTATTCATTTGATGAAAGTAATCAAATTAGATGCGAAATGAAGATGTCAGAAGTATGCTTAACTGCTATAAACGATCAATCAATCGGAAATATTTCATAAGTACAGAACAGCTCAGCGATAGATAACGTGTCTCAGTATATAAAATGAATCTGAATGACGTGGATTCGAAACCCTACTAGAAAGCACCAGTCCCTGGAAGATTGACGGTAGATCTTGTTGCCGAAAGCCAACACTAGCATCAAACTTGGATTTAGAGTTTCTTGCCAACTATCTACAACCAACCAACACTTACTAGCTTCAAAAGCTTAAAAATGCTAGCAACTAGTCAAGAAGTTAGTATAATTAGTGTTCTGCCACAAAGATTTGCTATACATCTCAACAATTATATTATCAGATAATTAATTCAGTAATAAATTATATATCATTCATGACAAATAATCAATAAATATGTTCTTACGCTTCAACAAGTGGAATATCAGATATCGATGGTGGGAAATTTAAAGCATGAACATTTTCATTATTCGTTACAGTAGTGATAAGTCGTTCAAGAAAACAACCCCAAGGTTTAGGACGATTAATGACTACTTCTTGTTTTTGATATGAATTATTTGACTGAACAGTTGAATCATTTTCCAATAATGGTGAAAGACGCATATGTGTTATCCAAACATGACGACCAAATGGTCCTCGAATAATTAAAACTGTAGCTGGTCCATCTGTTATGGCATCATTTTGAAGTTTTACATATGATTTCAATGAATGCGCAGAGAATTCACATAGGCCAATAATTAAACCAGGTTCAGACCAAAAGTATTGAAATTCTAATTGATTTTTAGATGAATTCGATTTTTCATGTGTAATTAATTCTAAAATATGCTCTTCTGATAATCGAGAACATATTGTAGCTGTGCCGAATGGTCCTGGGAAAGATCCGGCGACTGACATTAAATTCGAAAGACAAGCTTCAGCTGCATCACAAACACGTTTAGAGGATGGAATTAAAGGTTTTTGACCTTTGAGAATAGTAGTAGGAGCTTCATTTTTTGTTTGTTTATTCTGATTTAACTTTTTAAGAAAAAAAATTGAGCATACTTTACACAAGGCATTGAGAAATAGCAGTTTACAGAGCAAAAATATTATGTAATATTAACATGAACTTTAATAGTTACGACTAGCTGATCAGTGAATAATGGATTCAAAAGTAATCTAGACCTTTTGATAACTAATATTTCTAATTGATTAAGATTTAACTCATCATGTTCATGATGATAAAGACCGTTTACATAGTGGTTCCTATAGACGTGTATCCAACAACAATGTTGCACACATATAAACAATCCTATTCGAAACTTAAAATTATGTAATACACTTATATAGAAATTCTTAATCTAGATTTCAAATCAGAACTTAATGCTGAAGAAATTTATCGACACTGTAGGACTACAATATACAACACACATATAAAAGAGATTGTCATACATATGTCTGGATTCCTGTGGTAGAAACTAAACATAAGATTAATATGACTAGTTGATGGGATGACAAGAGTTGAACGTTGTATCTAGAAATTAAAATGTCTAGATTCAATAGATAATCGTACGAACGGACTGAAATCATCAAGGTAGTGTTCCAGTTCGTTTGAATTTATTTCGTTTATAGATTTTATTTAACGATTTATTTAACTGATTACTGAAGCAGTAAAGAACATTTGGAGTTGAGGTGGACACTTTTGGTAGTGTTGTATCCTCTAAGGTAGATTGCTTAATTGCACACCTTTATTTGTCATTCTGGACAACAACTTCTGAGTCTATTCCTTTAAGAAGTGAACACAATATCCCTATGTTAACTTGCACCCGAAGCTGCTATGTTTTAACAAAATAATTGAACTATTTTTAAGCACGAATTTTAATTTTTCCTCAAACAAAATCTGTCAGAAAGATGAGTTGTCTTCTTCATCCTAAATTGAATCATCATTAATAAGAATGTAATAGTGTCGGTTATAGATTTTTCCACTTAATGTGATGGGTATTAGCCAGAAATAAAAATTAGAATATTATCAACATACTCAGTCAGCTAGTCAGTTACAACGTAGAACTTCATACGTACGTACATAAGTTCAGGTTACCATACCAAATTAGCACAGAGACGCAAATGTCAGTTCGAATCCCGTAGTGGTAGAGATAATAGAAGTATTAGCAGTAATGGAGAAGATTAGGGTTCGAAGATATAATTCGAGAAGTATAATTCAGTAAGATAAAGTTAGAAGGAGAAAGATAGAGATGATGAGGAATTCAGAAGATTAGAATTTCATCGAACACAAAAAATGGATGCACCTTCTCCATTGTAAACGATTCTGAGCCATGTCGTTCAGGGTCACTAACCAATGGTTACTATCGTCTCGCAGACCACAACCAGGTAGTCGACACCTACCAACATGACTCAGTCCACTTGTCAGTGACTTCATGGATTTCTGCCATGTTTTGGTCGGTTCCCCCCAATGATTTTCTTCCAACCTACTCCTACACCATGCAACATCTCTTGTCGAGGCAGTCTGTGGTTAGGCATTCGTAACACATGTCCCTAACCACCTCAACTGATGAAGTTTCAATACTTCATCTATTGATCTGCGACCCTTACCTAGGACCCGTTTCCTAACAACAGCATTGCTTACTCGGTTATCCCAGAATACATGAGTAATGCTTCGAAGACATCTATAACCAAATATTATTAACCTAAGAATATCTTCTATTCTGACTGATCATGTTTCGCATCCATATCAAAACACTATCAACTGTTACACATAAATCAACCGAAAACATTTTACTAGAAAATTTCTAATAAATCTATTGATAAGTTATGAAAATGGAAGCTTCTTTTAAAAGATTATTGTTCAATATGTATTATACATAGATTCTGAATAATTTAGATGATGGATTATCAACTAAACATTAAATCTCTGCATTAAACATCTATTTATAGAAAATATTAAAATGTCAAGAATAAAAAACTTAGTTCATTGATTGTTTGAAGGTGATGTTTTTTCTCTTATTATTGGAAAGTGATATCAACTGAAGAATCATTGAATATTGAATAACATTACATGTTTGTTACAATCTATTTCAGGTTTCGCCTCAGCAGTAAAGATTACTTACTGTGTTTGTTGTTTTTAAAATGTACAAATAGCTTATATTTGAAAATTATAATCCACTAACGATTGAATATATTGAAATAAAATCAAATAGGCCAATCTACTCGGCGTACACGTGAGTTTTGTTAGTATTCTGCAGAGTCTTCGTCAAATAGCTCTAGGCTTTATGTACGGTGGGAGGGTTCGAACCAAAGATTCAGTGATCGAAATTCGAATACGTTAAACAATGTCGTTGGGGATGTTAGATCCTTAGAACTCGCTTGATAAATATCTTAATTTTAGATTTATTTCATGAACCGATCACTTGACCCTGACATCACATTTCCCACCAGGAGAATCTTTGGCTGTGATTTGTTATTGTGTTATATTAGTGTGTTATTTTGTGACTCTCCCAAGGATGTCTTTACGGTGTATAAATAAACGCAATTTGTGTGCCGGCTGGATGTTTGTAAAATACACTTCTTACGTTATATCAAGACTTCTCGCTAGTACATTTGGGTCAACGGATCAGAGTAGCCTATCTGGACGCTCGTTCATTGTTTTGTTCTCGTTATTCGACTAAGATGAACCCGTAATGGTTTTAAGCATACCTAGAGACAAGCGTAACAAATGTGCCCCACTCATGCACTAAGACGAAACTGTTAAAAGTCTACTCTTGTGTTAGTTCCGAACGGGTTACTAGTATAAGATTAGGGTCAAAGATTTACGAAAAATAATATTTAAAAACAAAACATGAAACAACAAACTCCAACTTACTGAAGATTTAGCACCACAAATACCTAATTCAATTGTTTCTAATATAGTCCAAACACATTCTCTATCAGATAATAATAAATTCACATGTTGTACAATCCATGAAGATAAACAATAATAAGCCGCGACAATAATACTATGTAATTGTCTTTTATGATCTTTTCGTTCACGATTACATTGATTGGTAATAAATTCACATATTGATCGAACAGTGTGTCGATCTAGAAAAAAAAGATAAATACAAGAAACAAGACAAAAAGAAACCAACACACAAATATGTTTTCACTGAATTAAAAATGTAGTTTTCTAAGTAATATGATGAATGAATGAGTTTACAGTTGTCTCATGATCGGAAAAAAGGCTGTACAAAATTAAATTGTATATATTCATTTAGAGTTATGGAGATTAGCGTTTTTACACATGGAAATCATCAATCAATTATTGTTAGACCACGTGACCAATGAATTTCAACCTTGTCGGGTGTAGGAAGTAACTACCAAAGACAAGTGGGCGAGGTTGCGCAAAATCTCTAGATTGATTGATCCAAAGGTTAGGCGTTCGAGCGCTCAAACCGAAGGTCTTGGGTTCGAATCCTGTGAGGTACAGGAGTTGTGGATGCACACTACTGATGAGTCCCGTACTAGGACGAAACGGCTGTCCAGTGCTTCCAGGTTTCTAATGGTGGTTTAACAATGATTGATTGATGATTTCAATGTGTATACATATTCATCCATTCTGAATGATAATTTACTAGATTTTAATCGACTTTACTTATAATGTAATCGGCTAAGATATATTTCTACCAGTACATACACTCATGATACATGACACTTCGCGTGAATCAAAAAGTGTGACAATAGTGTCGATCGCTTTTTTTCCCAAAGATAAATTAACTAAGACTCTGAAGAAAATTGTTCAGCTGATTAGTGTGGTAACACTTTGTAAATAAAATCTTTTTTAGATTTATTCCAAACCCAATAAGGTTAATGACTTTAGATGTGTGTTTCTGAGGTGTAAAACACAGGGTATGAGACAACGCTTTAGTACTTCCTTTGTTTTCCAGTAATTATCCAGTTAACGTTAGTTTCGCATAAAAACTAACTTTACACGGAACAATTTTCCAAATGAGTTGCAATAATTTTTTTATTCGAAAAGGGAAGATTTAGTAGAATTTTATTTTTAACTGATAAATTATTTTATCCAATCAAATCGACTTACAAGTAGATGGATCAGCCGGTGTCACATGTACATTAGACAGGCCAGAGATGATTTCCAATAAATAAAGCATCACTGATGCATCATTTTTCCATTTATATATTAAATTCCCGCAAAGAAGTGGTGCCAGAATATTAAAGAAACTAGATGTTGTATCTAAAATGTACAGAGAAAGTTTGTAACTGTAAAGAGAATCTATACATATATATATATATATATAATATTACTGTATTGAAGCGCCTAAAGTTACTTGAGGTAATCAATATACACGTGATCTAACCAAAAAAGAATAAACCAAACGAAAGTATGTATTTTGAACTCAAAACAGTAAATCATATGAGTTTATTTCATGAATTAAACGATAAAAGGAGCAAATAAACTTGATGTCGTATAATCTACATGAAAGATATTGAATATAAACTAAATAGATCACATTATTCATACTCAACAACCACCTACCACTTTACTCAAAGATGGAGAAAATGATCATAGTTTATTTATTAGATAACAAACTATCATACTAATTGTTGAGGGCGTTAGATCTACAGAACTCACTTAGAAAAGGTCCTAATTTTGTAATTTTTATCCCTGAAATTTTGAATTCTTATGTTTTCGTGCCAAGAGACGCTTAGTTGACCTACAGCTCACAGATCCCCCTCGAAAAATCCTTGACTGTCATCGGTTGATGGATTTTTTTAGTACACTATTTTGTGGTTCTGACCAAGAGAGTTGCTATCATTGTATAAATAAGCTTGATTTGTATACTTAAACACCTCGTATTTTCTGGATGTTTGTAGAATATACCCTCTACACCTTATCAAGACTTCTTGATCTAGTTAGCCGGGGCTTATCGCGTCACTGAGCCATTGCTTTCGTTCCGTTTACCGAGTACAGTGAATTCGTAATAGCATTCAAGCATATCACTAATCTATGAAGCCATTCATTATTGGACTCCTACTGTATAAGGAAGTGTTGACTCGTTAAAGTACTCTATACTCACGAAATTGATATGTGAAGATTGGATAAAACAGCTTACAACTAATCACAATGGTGTAGATCGATTGATCAAACCATATAAACTGTAACAATCTTTTCGTTTTGAAAAGTTTTTCCACTGTGTAATAATAGTATGATTTTTGCATACGTCAATCAATCTTCTCTCTTTCTGTTATGGAGAAGTGGAACAATTCAAAACAATACATACTAGCAAAATCTTGTATACATCTGATGAATATTCAGTCAGTATGAATAGAGTTCTCCAACGGACATGAATGAGTAAAGTATTCAAAATGTTATACCTTCGGACAAGTTTTGAAAATAAAGTTGTAAAGAGTGAATCCAAAAAACGGGAAATGAAACTTATTGAACAGAAACCACAATAATGCACAACTACTACGCGTAGGTTCAAATGATGTATATTATAAGAATAGTCTTCAGACAGTTGAAATATACACTCTCATCGAAGAACAAGTACAATGATTCAATTACAAACATCAAGAATAATTACTTCAAAAATACACACACATTTAATAAACTATCGGAATAAAAGAAGAGTAATCCAAGCTTTCAAAGAAAAAAAACCTTACGAGATTTGCCAGGATCATTTCGACTACTGGATGCATGAATTTCATCGGCTGACATATCTTCAATTAAAGCCAATGCCACACCTAATCAAATAAATAATTGGAATTATTCATTACGATACATGGTACATATATATATTCAACGTTTTTAAGAAATAGAACTGTAGTGTATGTTAGCAAGCGTTCTTAAGAGTAAGCAAAAACTGAATAACGACGTAATGACTAATAGAAATCAGACATTTTCTAACACAACACCATTATCTTTATAAGTCCACTTATTCGAAAATATTATTATTGTAATGGTAGTTGTTGTATTTTACTTTCTTTCTTTGCGTAGTCTCATATTACACACACTTTGTATAACGTAGTCTCATATGGCTTTTTATAATCGATTTAAGAATTCTAACAAATACTTTAAAAACTAACAAGATAATCATGACTTAAAAGATTTAATAAAGTTATAGAAATATGAATAACTGATAAAAAAAAAAGCCGAATAGAGAATTGTTAAAATGAAATCATATATTTTCCAGGAAAATAAAGGACCCAACAGTCATAATAAGACGACGTTACCAGTGAACAGCCGTCTTTGCCCTGTTTAGTTGAACTATGTCAGGTAATAAAGTCACACAACACCCAGACATATGGAAGAATCCGATGTGTATACAGGACGATCTATAGCCATTCTGAACAATCATGAAGAGGGATGAACATTGTGACCATAGACAACAAACAATGACAAAGTGAGTTATGATGAACATATGACCACCTGGCATGAATGTGTATCGATTCAGGCGCCTATACATCACGAAAGTAAAACAACAGAGGGGACACTGATAAGATGAGACGTATGGTAGCCTGATAAAATGTTTGGACTAATAATATTCTAATTATGTCAGTGTTGTAAAGTTTTATTGGATAATTATGAACATCAACTGCTCAAATTTATGCGCTTTTAAAAAAAGCTTACAACTTATTTCAATGTTGAATACTGGAAAACTCAAACGAGTACAACGCATTTCTTAGCCTATTTTCCACCTACACCAGCCGCCTTTGAAGAAGCGAAAAGCAATTGTATGCATGATAAATTATTGGTAACAACTGAGCATTGAAAATATTGAATGTCATAATTTACATCACAAACTGACGTCACTTATAGAATCCTTTGAAAGCAAGAGGTATTGAATAACTATTCCGACCTAGTACGAGTCTTATCAACAACAGGAACCCACAACCCCGTCAGAGTCTAATCCAAGAACTTTAGGTCTTGTAACACGGTAGTCTAAAGGTTAGGTGCTCCTCCTGGGTCTGGTCAGCGATAAAGACGCCAGTGGGCACTGCTTTTGAGTCTCAATACTAGGAAGAAACAGATATCCAATGCCTTCTTTCTTGTTTTGAATGGTTGCCTAATAAATTTCATGATTTACACTATGCAATTATTATAATAACAGAAGACGTAAAATCAACTTCAACAGAAAACTAAATATCAAAAACATATATTTAAAGTGAAGCAAATGACAATATTCAAATCTAATTAAAAGGAGTAAGGTGGGAGTAGGTTGGAAGAAAGCTAGAGGCCGCCAGACCAAAACATGGCAAAAATCCATGAAGTCACTGACTAGCGGACTGAGTCATGTTGGTAGATGTAGACTACCTGGTTGGGGTCCGCGAGACGAAAGTCCCCAATGGTTAGAGACCTTGAATGACATGGCTTAAAATCGTTTGCCATGGCGAAGGTGCATCCACACTTTGTGTTCTCTCTAATCCTAACCTTCTGAATTCCTCATCATCTCTAGCGTTCTCTTTCTAAACTTATCTCACTGAATTATACTTCTTGAATAATATCTTCAAACCCTAGTCTTCTTCATTACGATTAATACCTCTACTATCTTTATCACTATGAGATTTAGTTTGACATTTGCGTCTCTGTGCTAATGTGGTATGGCAACATGAACTTATGTACATACGTACGACTGAATTAAAATGAAAAATAAAATACTCACTTAATAATAATTGAAAATTTACAGGATCTTCTGTACTACTCAATGTATCACATATTATATCAATCATTCTACTTTTCATATCATTCAATGAATATGGATCTTTTTCATCCGATGACAAAGGAATCAAAGCTTTAACAAAAAAACAAATAACAGTAAAATGAATTAAGAAAAATAAAAAAAGAAAGATTCATGAAAAAACAACAAGCTGAAATGATATTCTCATAATGTTATAAAAATATAGTTGAAACATTGAATGCAAAAAATTGTATTCAATGTGTTCAATTAGTTTAAAATCATGAGTGCGTCGTCTAGGACATATGATTTCTAGGTTGTTTGTTTTTCTTTCAGTAATCATAATATGGTGAGAAAAACAAAATTCAAGAAGAATATTTTGAATGAACATGATCAATGTTTCTATTAAAAAATAGATACATTAAGATGTTTACAATAACAGATGGTCAATAGAATTGTGTATGTGGTTAGCAATGAAACTCGTAATTTTTAAACTGAATGTATTTAGATTACACATTTTTGAAACCATGAATCGATCAATGTTAGACCACCATTAGAAACCTGGAAGCACTGGACGGTCGTTTCGTCCTGCTATGGGACTCTTCAGCAGTGCGCATCCACGACTCCTGCATCCCGCAGGATTCGAACCCAGGACCTTCGGTATTGTGCGCGAACGCCCTAACCGTTAGACCACTGAGCCGGTATCTAACAGTGTTAATGTCTAACTTGATCAAATTCACGGAGTTGCGCAACCTCATACACAGTCTTCGGTAGACACTGCCTACACCCGAACAGGTTGAGTCCCATACCAGGACGAAACGGCCGTCCAGTGCTTCCAGGTTTCTAATGGTGGTCTAACATTGATCGATTCATGGTTTCAAAAATGTGTAACTTACCAATCTTCACAACCCCTGTAATGTACTTAGATTAGTTATGTTAAGACTTGAGGCCAATAACCGTTTGCTTCAAATCGCTGACACGCTGTCCATGGAACTACTGAGCCTAGATAGCCAGTAATTGTTTAATAAGTATGCAGTGTTTGTGATTTTCTGGAATGGTGTTAAAGATTGAAATTTATCAGTTTGTGTTGGCCCCAAATGCAATATATTCAAACTTGTGACCTAATTCAATCTCAAGGCAATTCAATCAGGATGCAAATATAGTGACATAGACTAACTAATTAACTACCCAAATAGCTGCAGGCTTGAATATCACACATAATGGGAAATCTCAAAAAACCTCACTAACACTGAACAAACAACCAGAGAAAATTATGGTTGCCTATGTAACCAAAGAGAAATAGAAATTTCACGATTTACTGTTATTCCTTAAAAACTCATCAAATCAGCCGAAATAATTCTTAATTAAGCTACCCGACATTCAACAATAATAAGTAGCAATAGGCTGGCTGACCTTATACCAATCTATTCTGTTTTGAATAGTTGAATAGTATCATCTATATCTGAATACTTGATAAACGAGTGAATTAGTTTTTTTTTGCATTAGAAAAAATACAACATATGAGTTATGAAGAAATTATCAATCATTTATAAATTTATCTTTTTACACATCGAAATCATCAATCAATCATTGTTAGACCACCATTAGAAACCTGCAAGCACTGGACGGACATTTCTTCCTGGTATATGACTCATCAGCAATGCGCACCCACGACTCCTGCACCTTGCAGGATTCGAACTCAGGACCTTCAGTTTAGCGCGTGAATGCCTAAACTTTTGGACAACTATGCCGGCATTAGGCGTGCAAAGGCGTTCACGCGCCAAATCGAAGGTCCTAGGTTTGAACCCTACGCGTAGCAGGAGTTGTGGATGTGCACTGCTGATGAGTCCCATTCCAGGTTTCTAATGGTGGTCTACCGATGATTAATTAATGATTTCTATAATAAACCACAATCTCCATAACTATTTAGTGAATATCAAAAATAACTACACTAGGCTGAGAATAAGTGATCTAATAAGATTGTTAGCCAATGACACTGAGAATCAATATCCCGGCTAAGAACATCAACATATTTTCAAGCAAATTATAATTATAATAATTATTATTATTATCGAGGAACACAATCAATATCTTAAATGAGCTTATATTGTACAATCAATAACACTGCGTACTGGACAAGTAATTTTAGCTTAATAATACAAATACATTCCTTAGGAATATATTTCACAGCTGATTAATTAGAATAAACATTAATATATTGAGTAAAATCTGTGGCAGAGAACAAACCAGATTCCAAGCAGAGAATGAAATCAGGAAAAAGCACTGGAAGTGGATAAGACACATATTATGGGAGATTACAAAACTGGATCATTAAAGCAAGTGCTGATTAGGATTGTTTAAGGTCAAAGAACATATTACGCTGAGGATCGGAATCAGACACCAAAGTAATGAACAGCGATTCGGGCTAGAACTAGGAAGGGAGGCTGAGAACAGAGTAGGTTGGAGAATGTTAGTCAGCGGCCTACGCCCCATTAAGGATAATTGGCGTAAGTAAGTAGGTAAGCAAATCAAGTAAAATCAAAGTGATTAGACTGTTATTTCTCCATACCATCATTAAACATATTAAGTTTGTGTATAATATGACATGATAATGATTGCATAGTTTACTTACGTTTAACATATGCCCCTTTAAATTGAATAGGAATACATACCAATGACATAAGTTGATGTATGGCTGCACGTTGAACTAAAGTTGTTGATAAAAATTCAGGTTTCCTAAAAATACAAAACATCGATGAGGATACAGTATGTTGTATACGAAAATACACACACACATATATATATTTATATATAATGATTAATGGTGTAATTGGATACAATCAACATTTTTATTATTGTAATAAAAGTCACACAGATTTGTTAGATTTGAAAAAATAAACTATGCTTGCATAATGTTAATGAAAGAATGTGTAGATTTTAAACTTTTTCCGGATTAGTAGTACAAAGGAGTGAATATTTAAACGTAAATAATGCTTAGGTCGAACAAAATCTTTAAAATATAATACTGAGAAATATAGTTTTCTTTGCATAAGGATTGAACCACTGGAGAAGAATCTAAGCATTATTTTCATGCTTTCCAATACTTAACGATAACATGGCACAAATAATCCATGAAGTCACTGACAAATGGATTGAGTCATGTTGGTAAGTGTAGGCTATCTTGTTGGGGTCCGCGCGACAAAAGTTACCAATGGTTAGAGACCTTGAATGATATGGCTTAAAATCGTTTGCCATCGCGAAGGTGCATCCACTCTTTGTGTTCTCTCTAATTTTAACCTTCTGAATTCCTCATCATTTCTATCTTTCTCATTCTAACTTTATCTCACTGAATTATACTTCTTGAATCATATCTTTGAACCATAATATTCTCCATTACTTCCACTATCGCTATCACTCTTGGATTTGAACTGACAGTTACGTCTCTGCGCTGATGAGGTATGGCAACCTGAACTGATGTACTTACGTAAGAAGTTCTGCGTTGTATCTATCTGTCTAACGATAAGATATAACTGTCCTTTTGATTTTGTAGTACAGGTAGCTGAACTATTTAAGTCATTATTCATTCTGTTTAGAATCAGAGTATGCAGGTGTATGAGTCGTTGGACGTTAATCAATCTAATCATATAAGATTTTTTTAAAAATACTTGTTGTATAAAACATTGAAATAGTACTAGAAGAGATAGATATCGGATTAAAGTTTCGTTCGAAAAAAAACTATGTTAATCTGAAAATTATGAATCAATCATTGTTAGACCATCTTTAGAAATCTGGAAGCACTAGCCGGTCACGAGCCCTGTTCGCAGGAATTGAAACCAGGACCTTAGGTCTCGCGAGTGGAGTCCAAGGATGCGCAGTGTTGATGAGTCCCATACTAAGACGAAACGGTCAGCTAGTGCTTCTAGATTTCTAATGGTGGTCTAACAATGATTGATTCATGATTTCAATAATAAACACCAATCTCCATAACTCTATATTGAAAAATATCAATATGGATATCTTGCATTATCGAATACTATTATATATATATATATATATATATATATCCATATTTTCATCCAAGAGATAAGAGTTAAATAAATAAATATAATAAAGACTTTTAGTTAACCTAATGAGAACTCATAACACCAATGGATTCATTAAGAAGGAAAATAATATTGATGAAAATCTAAATATATATTCCCATGAAAATCTTTAGACCAGATTGACAAGTCCAACGTTGGATTTTATTTGAAGTTCAATCGTCAAGATTTTTACAAATATAATTTTCCGCCTTAATGCCCAATACTACTAGGAAATTTTAACTAGATTCAATCAAGATAGTAAAAATACATTCTAGTTTAATAACTTTTAATTAAACTCGATATGGTAAGTTCATATTACCTATTTACAATTTCTAACAAATTAATGTACAAAACTGAAACACATTATATTGATTAACATTAAACCATATGATTTAGAAAATTACTGAATCAGAGTGTAATAGGTGTATATTTTATTCATCGAAGAAAAATAATCTACGTTCAGCTTTATCAACTAATGCAATCAGTCAGTCAGTCAGTTGCAACGTAGAACTTCGTACGTAAGTACATCAGTTCATGTCGCCATACCACATCAGCACAGAGATATAATTGTCAATTCAAATCCAATAGTAGTAGAGGTAGTAAAGGTATTAGAAGTAATCGGAGAGGTTAGGATTAGAAAACATTATTCAAGAAGTATGATTCAATGAGATAAGTTTAGAAAGTAAAAACTAGAGGAGTTGAATAACCCAGAGGATTAGGATTTGAGAGAACACAAAGAATAAATGCACTGGCGCCATTGCGAACGATTTTGAGCCATGTCATTCAAGGTCTCTAACCATCCATTATTATCATCTCGCGGACCCCAACCAGGTAGTCGACAATTACCGACATGACTAAGCCCACTCGTCAATGATTTCATGGATTTCTGCCATGTTTTGGGTTTGGCCGCCCCTAACTTTCTTCCAACCTACTCCTACACTACAAAACAAAGCTCGACGAGGCAGTCGGTGGTTAGGCATACGCAACACATGTCCCAACCACCTCAACTGATGAAGTTTCATTACTTCATCAATCGATCTGCCATTCTTATCTAGCACCCGATTCCTAATAACAGCGTTGCTCACTCGGATGTCCCACGATACACGAGCAACGCTTCGAAGACACCTATGATCGAAAACCAGTAACCTACGAATATCTTCTACTCTCACTGGCCATGTTTCACAGCCATAAATTAAGACGGAGCAAACTACTTTGCAGTACACTAATGTAATACCTTAGATCAGAGTTAGACATTAACACCATCGGATGTGCTGACTCCCTGGTCTCGACCTTAAGCGTTCACGCGCAAGACCCAAGGTCCTGGGCTCGAATCCTGCAGGTAGCAGGAGGTGCGTATGCCCCCTGCTGATGAGTCCCATACCAGGACAAAACAACCAACCAGTGTGTGCTTCCAGGTTTCTAATGGTGTGGTCTAACAAGTATTTGTTAATGATTTCAATGTTCAAAAAATAACAATCTCCATAATACTATTATTATATAATGTATAAAATATAATAATAATACTATTACCCCCCAAAAAAACATAATTTCCCTACAAACAAACAAAAAACAATGCTCTCACCAGCCCCCCACCCCCACCCCCAACATAATTCACTTACATATTGATTTCTTCTTTGAATATATGCTGACAAGCAGCAAATATACGCGGTATCAATATATTAATACCAGGTAAATCAACACGAAATAAATCCATTGAATAGAATAATACTAAACATAAAATATAATCATTTTTAACCTATGAAAGAGAAAAAAAAATAAAAGAAAAAGAAAAAAGAAATCACAAATCAAAATTGATGACATATAATCATCATCATCAACAGAGAAATATTCATGTATAGTTAGTTAGTTATATATAATAGATTTCTATTGTAGAATATAGATAGATATATATGCACATGGGTATCATTCATTAAAAAAAGAACATTTAGGTTCTTAAAGAGAACAGAACATAACTAAAGGTAAATGAGTTCATTGAGTTGTAAACCATATAGATATATATAGATGCATACAACATACAGCATAAAAATACACTGAAATACATTTTGGTAAATAAATAATTAGAAACTTGTAATACAAGAGTACACATACACACACATAGGATTGTAAGAGTAGTACTCTACTTTTAAAATCTGTACATTATATATTTTGCTTCAAATCATCATCCTAAATAATAATAATAATAATATATACCATACATAATATTATTGATGTGAATTACCAACCAAATAATGCAAATCATG